GGCACGATTCTGAAGCCTGCAAATGCTAATAAACGTGAGAAGATCTATCCGATGGCACGCGCGTGCTCGTACACGCGCGTGGAGAAATGTCGGCTTGTTTCGCCAACGTAACAAGCATTACAGCTTGTACAAGAAATTTGTATACGATGCGCGTACGGCGCCTGTCAGGGAGAGGATCTTTCACGTTGAACAAGTTCTTAATTTTAAAGGTAGAGTAAACAAATTTGATGTCGATGGGTTTGCAGAATCGATTGATTAGCTTGCNGAAACAATAAAACAAGCTTTTTCTATGTTTTATACTCTGATAAAACATAGGTTTTTGACCAATCAGAGCGGCGCAGGGTACTATCTACATTATGGCATTCTCACAAGAATCCGACTTTAGTCTTAACGAATTTGAAAACGATGAACAAGCCATCGAAACGTCATTCAAAATTATTATCGCTTATCTTTGTTCTCACTTGTTTATCCAAAGCCTCCGTTATCAAAGCACCTTATAGCCTGGGAAAATCCCACATTAATTTGGAAATACAAAATAAATAGAAGAAAACGATATAAATTGAGAAAATATTTAAGACTATGTAAACTTTCTAATAATATCAAATCTAATACTTATTATGCTAATCTACTAAACTAATAACAGCTGAACAGCTGATCAGATAATCTGATGATTCATTAATAATCGCTAACAAATCATGATGTAGCTTTTGGTGGGGACGATTTTCAACACGCATTTTGGATGGTGCATCCAGGGAGACCGGAATACGCCTTGAGACCAAAGATTCAGTATAGGTCACTTCTATATCTGAAAGATCAAAACCCACAAGCAAACGCTACAATAATGTTCAACAAAGATTAATTATCAGAAGCTTCACTTTTTTTTACTAATAGATAGCTTCACAGGTACAAGATTCTTATCAGGGGCACCCACATGATCGTTTTGGTAAATTATCTGTTCGGAACACTTTTTATCACCCCCGATTTTTCTTAAGAGAATTGTCACCTCGAACTTAACGCAACTTAACGTTGGTTTTTTTTCGGTACAGAACCGTCGTTGTGTGCCCCTGCCTTCTGTCAACGTATGTCTGCGTGAAATATATATATAGTCACTGGGATGACTATTTCAGTGGATATTATTTAGTTATTGTCATTTTATTGAGTGTCGATTCCACCTAGCAAAATTTCAGTACATTTTATTAAGAATGGAAGGTAAACTTCAAGAATAATCAGAGGAATAACCGAACCCGCGGGTTAGAGAAAAAAATACAGATCCAAATGACCGACTGGTGTCAATCATCCAGATTGCCTGTCTCGCAAAAAATTAATCCGACGAGTGTACTTGTAGGAGAAAGAGAACGAGAGGGAGATGTCTAGTATGGTTCACATCACATATTGTTACTGAGCTAATCCCTTTCGTTGTTGTCGTCGGCTTTGCAAACAAAAAAAAA